TGCACCCCTTTGTGGGCTGTGTGCACAGTCTTGTTGTAGTTAAGCCTTGATTGTTGTAGGTATCACTGGGAGCTATTGACCTCCAGGCCAATTGGCTGTGAGAATCAGCTGTGTCTGCACTGGGAGAACTTCTGTGCTGGAGACACCCTTCTGGGGCAAGACTTGCTTCAGTGGGGCTTTGGTGCTCACTGAGACTGCCCCCTGAGTGTGTCCCTTATGGATCTGAGGAGTTGTAATCTGGATGGTCCCACTCTGACCACTGGGTACACTGGCTCTTGGATCTAAGGAGGTGCTAATTTAGCCTCTGCCTGAGGCTACCCCGCAGGAGCTATGGAGATATCTGCAGATTCCTCTTCTTTGTTTGGGTTTGGAGGTGCCCAGCTGAGGCCCAGGGAGAGATCTGCAGATTCCTCTTCTTTGTTTGGGGTTTGGAGGTGCCCAGCTGAGGCCCAGCTGTGAAGCAATGCAAGCTGCTGTAGGGCCTTGGGCCTTCTTTTGGAAGTTCTTGGTCTCTCTGACCCAGCTGCAGTTTGTTAGGTAATTTTCAGGTTGCAAAGGGCCAGGCCTTTCATATGCAAAAGCCTCTATGCACAGCTTGGGTTGGGCGGGATCTCAGGGGATCAACAGGGCGGAGCAAGCAGCTATGGCTGCTCCTCAGTCCTATGGTAAGAGGCCCCACTTCTCAGTGTCCTGGTAATCGCTGCAAGCTCCTCTGAGAGAAAGCTGCCCTGAGTTCCAACCGCTGCCAGACAGTCCAGTTTCTCCCTGTATGAGTCTGGGTCCCCAGAGATTTACACGGAACTGGAGTTCAGAGCAGTCGGGAGCTTGAGACTCCCTCCCGATTGAAAAACACAGCCGTGTCCTCAGTTGCCAGCCCTTTACATGTGCGCCCCCATACCTCTGCACTTTACTTCCACACCTCCTCTGAGTCTCAGTGTGCTTTTCTCTTTCCTTCTAGTTGTAGAATTTCCACTCAGCCAGCCTTCCTGTTGTTCTGGATGATGTTCATTTTGTCTTTTAGTTGTATTTTTAAGTGTTGTGAGAGGCAGCAATTTCCGGTGTTTACCTATGCCGCCATCTTGGTTTTTCCTCCTAAATTCAAAGTTTTAAAAAAAACCAAACATGTGCCTTCTGCATTGAAGAGTTTTTTTCAAATCAGAGGACCTCCAAACAGGCAGACTCTCATTGGTAGATTAGTATTCCCAGGAAAGTTATTAGCATTTCTTCTGTATTTTTTTCAAAAGTCTGACTTAAAACTAGTATGCTCAGCTCCTCTGTGAAAGGGAATATATAAATAAAACTATTTTCTTTGAAGTTCACTAAATACTTTT